GCATGTTTGTGTACGCAAGCAGAGCAACGTGTTTGATCATGCTTGCATGGCCTTTGAATCGCAATGAATGAGAGAGAGAGCAGATGGAGCGCAGGAGATGAATTACCAGCTCGTTGTGGGAGAGAGCATGAGTGGGAGTAGGGCAGCGAAACAGAAGCTGAGAGCGTGGAGCAGAGCAAGAACATGAGTGGAAGGGAGTAGCAGATGGACTAGCAGCCACAAGGTAGATTTCAAAGAGGTGAGGTTCTTCCCTGCTTCCTTGTAGCTTCTGTCTTATTTTGCTGCGCTCTTTCTTGGCCCGCGTACTGACTATTCCGAGAGCTTTGTTTTGGTGTGGCATCACCTTGTTTGTTTTTTCAAACTTGAATCAAAAGAGGAAGCTGAATAGTTCGAATTAGAAGGAGTTCTTGCCGGATGAGACAAGAGTGTGAGCAAGAAGCCGTGTAGTGGGAGTGGGAGCAGCATAGGCTGCGGCAGATGAACCAAGAGACTGGACACATACCCCTAGGAAATGGACGTTGTCGTTTTGGTTGGTGAATCTCAATGACAGTGTGAGCAAAGAGAGAGGCAGCAGTGAGAGCAGCAGCTTCAGCTGGATTATGAATGGGAACTTCAGAGGGGAGCACAAAAGAATGGACTGCCCCAAGCGAACCGGAAATGGTAGCGTGTGAGTTTAAGGTGGATCCACACAGGCCGTTGTCGTTTTGGCTGTTGAATATCTAGTTTTTTTTTTTTTTCCTGTTTATGTTTTTTTTTGCTTTTATTATTTTTTTTTTTAGCCCTTTTATTTATTCAACTAAATGCAGATTGCACATTTCTACATCAGACAGTCATTTTGCAACTACAAATTGTACATATGTACATATGCATGTAAATATGTACATATGTAAGTATGTACATATGTAAGTATGTAAATAATCATCATGATGTTCTGGACGACGATGATGATACAGACATATGTATGTAGTTCGCATCGCACTGTTTTATGATGAGTGACAAGCGAGTTTGTTGATTCAGCACTCGGACACAAGTTGCAGGCAAACAAGTCCAGTCCACATGGAGGTTGCACATACGCCAGTGCCAGCCAGAGTGACCCCGAAATCTGGCAGGGAGGCCAATGCCAATGTGCGTGGGGGGATACGAGTAGGTATGACCTTTTTTGGTTGTCATGGGCGCATCTTTTGTGTGGGTTAATATGGGGGCAACACTTAAGAATATTTAACTACACATTTTATACGATTCAAAGCAAGAGAAACTCTTTATTTGGATAACACAACATTATTCCAAAAATTCTGATTTAAATTTTAACTTTCATTTCCACTCTGCTGCTGCTCCACGCTTTATCTTTGTTCGACTCTCCATCACTTATCTCACTACAATTGCAAGTAACTTTCTTCGCTTTGCCAAGCGCTGAACTACCATTTCAATGGGGGATATCTAATCAACAAAGGACTGATATTTGCATATCGATTTCCCCACACACACACACACACAAGCGTCGAGTCGCCACAATGAGCCAAAGTCGAGGATGTTTTCGTTTACATAAAAATGCAATGAAAATGGCGGCGGCTACTACTGGTATGTCCTTGGCGGCTGCTCACTCCTGCCGCGCCGCACAGCGCAGCTCTGTCCCCTAAAGAGTTGTGCTTTTGTGTGTCCCGTTAGCTGCAACTGCACAACTCCAGGATGCGCATTGCCAGGCCTCACGGATAGGACGCAGCCAGGAGCAAACAAACTTGAAGAAAGTCGCGTGGGAGAGAGCAGGAGGAGGAGGAGGAGGAGGAGGAGGCGAGATATCATCAAAATGAATATGAGATTATATTTGCCTAGTGCACGGGGGGTGATTCTTGAGGCACACAACTTAAAGGAAACGAAAGATGCATATATATATAGAAAGGGAGAGGGAGAGTGAGAGAGTGCCGAAGTATCCTTGCCCGCTGGCTGGGCGAAAGGTGAGCAAACAAAGACGCTGATAAAACGAAATGCCAAAACGACAATTGAAAGGCACAACAAAAGACAAGAGCGCGCCCCCCGCCCCCCTAAAAGGGGGTTAGATAGGGAGTGGAGAGGGTAGGTGGAGGTGGAGGGTTTGGACTGTTGTTGGACTAGTGGGAAAAAGTCAACTCGAGAGAGGGAGTCTACTCTGGTTAGAGGGGTCCTCTCTGCTCTCTGGACTGCCATTTTTTGGTGTCTGCGACTCATCCAAAATCAAGTGTGAAAGGAATACGGCCAAAGGTTGCCATATAGCCTTCTCTTTCGCACTCTATGTCCTTACCCCTTCTCCTTCCCCTGCTGTTTCACCCCCTCTATGTATCTTCTTTTTGCTCTTCCCTCACTGCTCTATCGCGCATAAATATTTTAGGGGCGGTCTCAGCCACTGCCTCCCTTTCCCTCTACCACTCTCACTCACTCTCTCTCTCTCTCTCTCTCGCTTGCTCTCTCTCTTTTGCTCTGCCTTTCCTCTATAATATTCCAATTCGACATTTTGTCTTTTCATTAATAATGCAGTCGACGTTCGCAGTCGCTGTCGACGGCAGCGTCAGGACGACCCATCCAATCTGAACATCATAATGAAGTTCTCTTTTCGCAGGACTCGAGCAGGCCATCCCGCTCTGTCCATTGGCGGCTCTGCCTCTCTCTCTCTCTCTCTCTCTGAACAGCTGCCTTTCTCTTTCGCTCAGAATATGTCGGGGGTTGTTTTTGCCATCCATCGCGCAACCCTCGGCCGAAGCATGCCGTGTGTTTGCCATCATTCCGCTCCGGTCGCTGATCCTGTGCTGAACACAGCGCTTCCCCTTCTGTCGCGTTACGCATACGTACTCCAGCCGAGCAAATAACTTTTTACGAGAGCGAACAACAAAAAACAAGTGAAAAAGAAAAAGAACAAACTTTAAAACAAGTTGAAAAAAAAGACAAGTTGCTGTGTGTTTTAATAATTGTGTGGGAGTTGTCCATCGTCGAGTGTGTTTGAAGAGTGGCTGCCGAGGGTCACGCATTGGATACCCACATAGGCAGCGCCTAAATATGGTTTACTTTGTACGTATCCACATGCTACATAGAGTGTATATCTGCAGTACTATATATTATGCTTAAGTTGGTGGGGTTTCCACGTGGGCTGGTGCACTTTTCCCCGACGGGAAGTTGATCATTTTATGCGTAGAAATTTGTGTGCAGACCTGTCAGTGGGTCAGTGGCAGTTCTTTAACAAAACAGATTTAAAGCAGATTAATTAAATAATTCTTATAATTGAATAATAGTCAAAAGTTGTACATTAAAAAATTAAATTAAATTAAATACGTGAATATTTATATGTGGTGCAAATTGTTTGTTTTATTTAAATATTTCATATTTTTCTGTATCAACGAATTTTTTTATAACAAATCAAAATCATTTTTAAGCTTTATAATTTAATTTTAAGAAATGTATTTTAAATTCAATTTTATTTGATTTAATTGGAATAATTTGGATTAGCGATTGATTTATTTTGTTGAAGCTTGAAGCTTGAATCTTGAATCTGATGGTCATCTAATTTCTTAATGACCGAAGAAATTTTTAGTACATTTTTGGTAGCTAGCTTCATAATTTCGTAGGCAAACATTTAAACCAAAATTATGACTTATAGTCTCTTATATTATATTATCTTATATTACACAAATCGTGTGACTTATTTTGCTATTGAATTAAATTATATCAAGTCCACATCTTAATATTAATATACTATACTTCCCCTAGAGAAAAGTCTCCCTCATTTTTTGCTCCACATATTAACAATGTTTAATAAGCTTCATTCCGCACTCGCACTCTTCAAGAGTGTTGCCCCCAAAGGAAGAGCGGAACTCTCAAGAGGCCACTAGAACACCAACATAATTCGGGGCACTCAACCAAAAACAGAACTATGCGCACAAGTACGATTACGATTTAATGGGTCTCAAACCAGAGAGAGGGAAAAGTGCCAAAGTTTCAATTGAAAGTTGTCCGTCTCCGTCTCCGCCTGTGGGTTCGGGGTCAGCGTGTGAAATATGACCAGCCCCCTTTTTTAATCATATTAAGCTAAGGCAACACTTAGAGAGAGAAACTACGCGGTGGGTAAGGGGAAGAGGGAAAGTCAGCCTCAGACTCAGACTCAGAGTTAGGTTAGCCTTGGATATGTGCCCTCCAGAGCTACTTACTGAGGCGTCAAATCAAGTTAATTAAAAACGAAATAACCTCGAGCAGGAGGGTTAAGTTAAGCTAAGCTAAGTGAAGTGAAGCTAGGGAAAGGAAAGAAAAGGAAAGCAGCGCGGTAATCGCACCGGATGTCGCACATTAGGAACACTCGAGGGCACATGTGGAAGATGTGGAAGATGGAGCTGCAGACCGGCAGAGACGGTCTTACACTTGCAGCCAAGTGTAAACGATTTAATGATGTGCAAATAAAGCCAAGACCCGCGCCAAAAAAAAAACAAAAACAACAACAAAAACAACCTTCGATTGGGAATAGGAAGCGTATTCCCTGGATTGTGTTATGATTGATGGCAATATGCTAAAAAGAAAAGCGAAAGAGTTGAAACCCCTTTTCGGGGGGGCATTGTTTGGGTTAAGTGAACTGTGAGCCGGGCAGCGCGCACGGGTTAAAAAATATGCAAAAATTTGGAATCGAAATTGAAAAAATCGGGGGGTATATACAATATATATGTATGGTATATATTAAACGCAAAATGCGGTTTTGTTTTAATTGCAACCCGCTGACTGGCCACGAATAATCCCAGGGATATGCAAAAATGTCCTGCCGCTGGGAGCACGCCCTCTCGTAGGCTCTCCCTGGCGTTTGTTTTGCAACGCATTAGTTGCACTTGACTGGGTCCCGCAGGACAATAACAATGGAGGCGTATGCTTAATATTAATTGATAGCCCGCTGCTTAGTTGTGCACACACACACCACACACACACCACACACACACCGACCAGATCGTGCGGAGAACTCTTGACTCATTTGTGTTCTCTCTTTTATTTAATTGCAGAGTCCGCGTGGCATGCAACCGTGTAGTCCAGCGGGTGTTATTGCAATGATGCCGCCATCGAAGAGTCCCGTCATGGAGAGCGCCGCCTCGGAACAATCCACCGCCGGCGGTGGCAGCCACAGCCACAGCAACAGCAACAGCAACACAAATAATGGCAGCAGCAGCAGCGAGGCCAAGCGATCGTGTCCGCTGAAGTTCTCCATTGCCAAGATCATGGAGCCCGATCACAAGCCACACCAAGCGGTGGCTGTGCCACCATCCATGCAGCCATCCATGCAGCCGTCATCCATCCAGGTCGATGAGGAGGAGGAGGATGCCGACATTGATGCCGATTCGGAGCGATCCTGCAGCCCCATTGAGGTGATCAGCCTGGAGCAGACACCGCACGCGGCGGCGGCAGCTGCCATCAACTATGACTCCGCCTTCAAGAAGTACGTGCCCGGCTCGGCGGGCGCCATCTCCTCCTCGGTATCGCCCTCCGCCTCGGCGGTGCAGCAGTTCGTCAGCTCCCGCCACCAGGAGCTGCTCTCCCAGTATCCCCTGCTCTACTACGCCCCCAATCAGCTGATGTGCGCCGCTGCAGCGGCCCAGTACGCGGCCCTCACGGCCCAGCAGCAGACGCTGGCCAGTGCCGCTCACCTGAGCAGCTTCACCGCCTCCCTGAACGCCAGCCTGCATCACTCGCAGTCGCTGCGCCGCAATCTGGGGCATCCACTGGCCGCAGCGGCGGCTGTGGCCGCAGCAGCCCAGTCCCAGCAGGTGCCCACGATGCAGCAGACCCTGGAGAAGTCCCCGGTGGGGCACAGAACGCCCCATGCCAGCGGCTTGGCTGCACCCTCCCTGAAGAGGAAGCGCTCCCAGCCCGAGCAGGGCGAGACAACGCCACCACCAGCAGCAGCAGCAGCCGCAGGAGCAACCACACCCACGGCAGGAACCTCCTCCAGTGCAGGTGCACGCTCCAGATCCGCCTCCCCACACGGCTCCATCGAGGACAGCAGTCCGGGATCGGCGAATGGCGGCAAGCCGAAGACCTTCTCCTGCTTGGAGTGCGGCAAGGTGTTCAACGCCCACTACAATCTGACGCGGCACATGCCCGTGCACACGGGGGCACGCCCCTTTGTGTGCAAGGTGTGCGGCAAGGGATTCCGGCAGGCGTCCACGCTGTGCCGCCACAAGATCATACACACGTCGGAGAAGCCGCACAAGTGCCAGACGTGCGGCAAGGCCTTCAATCGCTCCTCCACGCTGAACACCCACGCGAGGATCCACGCGGGCTACAAGCCCTTCGTGTGCGAGTACTGCGGCAAGGGGTTCCACCAGAAGGGCAACTACAAGAACCACAAGCTCACGCACAGCGGCGAGAAGGCGTACAAGTGCAGCATCTGCAACAAGGCCTTCCACCAGATCTACAACCTCACCTTCCACATGCACACGCACAACGACAAGAAGCCCTACACGTGCCGCGTCTGCGCCAAGGGCTTCTGCCGCAACTTTGACCTGAAGAAGCACATGCGCAAGCTGCACGAGATCGGCGGGGATCTGCTGGACGATGATCTGCCGCCGGCGTACGAGCGCCGCCGGGAGTACACACGCCGCGAGCCGCTCTCCAGCTACAGTCAGGCCAGTCAGCTGACGCCGGACTCCTCCGAGGGCAGCATGTCGCCGCCCATCAATGTGACAACTCCACCGCTGTCCAGCGGAGAGACGAGCAATCCCGCCTGGCCACGCTCCCAGTACCAGTCGCCAGTTGCGGGCTTCCATCCGCTGGCCGTGCCGCCCTCCAGTTTGCATGGCGATTATTCCGGGGGATCGGCCTTTCTGCAGCTCGCACATCCCGCAGCCCAGCAACAGCAGCACCAGCACCAGCAGCCGCCACATCCACAGCACCAGCAGCAGCAGCAGCAGCATCAGCAGCAAAGGCTGTCGGCCGCCGCACTGGAGAATGTGCCCTTCATAGCGAAAGTATTCTGACAGCGATACTATGCGGACAGTCTGAATTCGGCCTCAGCCACGGCTTCGAGCTGCACGAGCAGCTCCACGGCCACCACGAGTACGGCCACATCGGCCACGTCGACGGCCAGGAGCGATTTGCTCATCGATTGACTGCAGTTTGTGGCAGCGGCAGCGGCAGCCGCCACAGCAACAAACGCTGCAAGCACCACCACCCAGGAAGCAGGCGAATCTACGCCCGGGGCTACGACATCCCCCGGGCTAAGCTGCACGGCACTGAGCAGCGCTGTACAAGCCCTGAACGGACTCTTCTAGGATGCAGATCCAGATCCAGACCCACCAGAGCGCCCCCCAAAAAGAACACAGCCAACGAATGGTTTCAACTTGTGCAATACTTGTCCCCCAATCCCCCACTGTACCGCTCAGCACGCCCTCTATGATAACTTCTTCATATGTGTCCAAGTGTCTGTGTGTCTGTGTGCGTGATTCTTAGTGTATATAGAGCCATATATGTATAGCCATATAAGAATTGTTCCCCTTAATACGAGATAGATGTTGCATTCCCCTTAGATTTACTCACCTTACACCTAAGCATCGCTCTCTCTTAATGTGTAGATATATACATATATATATATATACGATTTAGATAGTTCTGAATGTCTCCCACTACCACTACCAAACACCACCCCACCACGCACTGAGTTCTGTGTAGATCGGCTACACAGATCCTCTGGAGTGCGCCAATTGATAGATGTAGGAAATGTTTTCGGAATTGCGAGAGCATCTGTTCTGGGGGATCTATCAACCGATTTACATCATTGAAAATGTATCTTAGAGTTGTACTAGATATAGCCCTCGATCTGTGTGTCTGTGTGTTTAATCCATGGCAAAAAACAATTTAAGGAACATTTTAACAATCGAATCGATGGATGTGGATGGATGCTTTGAAATTGTTTAGAACTTAAGTGATATTATTGATAATGTTTAAGCAATAAATCAATTCTTCAAATATTAATCTGGAGTACGGTTTTACTCTGGGAATGGTTGGGGGTTTTAGAGTTTTAATATGAAATTGGAAGTTAATGATAATTTTGATAATGGGGATATAATGGGGTTAGGGTACCCTGGTTTTATGGTACAAAAGAAGGCGAGTGCTCGCTGATAGACTATGCAATAAATGCATTCATATATGAGCTAGAAATTTGAAAGGTAAAGGACTAAGGTTTGATCATTGATTAGAATTCGTAGGGCATGTGCAAAATGTAAGTACTGGAATGGATGCTGAAAACATTGTCGAAAATGGCTAAGAGCAAAAACGAACCTTTGAACTCTTTTTTCTTGCTCAATAAAATAATCTTCAAAATTCAAAAGATGCTGGGAATTTAGTGTACATCAGAGCTGATTATAATATGAAATCTCTGTGAGCTTGCTGCAGTTTTCATGAATACAATTTTAATTTGATAAAATATATAGCTAAAAGTATAAAAAATCCTTTTGGTTCATATTTAATGTGAGCAGAAGGAACTTGTTTTAACTGGGTAAAGTTTTATGTATTAAAACCAATTTAAGGCCTTCCTTTAAATAATCTGGAAGCATGGATATCATGCCCTGGAGCCATCTTCCTCAGCCCCATTGCCCCTTTAATATCCTCCCGACACATATGCAAATAACTGAGCAACTGAATGAGGCAACCCCTTGAGATTGTCGCCGGCGATCCTACGCGTAAATAATGCAAATGGATGCGCAGCCAGCGCCTAATGAAAACAATTATTGCTGCATTACGCGACAGGACAGGAGGTGAGTCGCGTTTAATGGGCTCTAAACTGTCCCCACCGACTGCCGCATGACATTTGCAACTTAATTAGTGGCGAGCTGCCTGCCTGTACCTGTTCCTGTTCCTGTCCCTGTCCCTGCCCCCACTCGACACTCAACGAAGCCCAGTTCCACGCGGCTGGAACTCCGCAGGTGGCAAGCACTAAGGGCACCAGCGGCAGGACCTGGCACACGCCAAAATCATTTGCATAACGCTTTGATCTGCTGCTAAGGAAAAGGCGGGCACAGCATCCGACTTGGTCTCGGTCTCGGTCTGCTACTGAAACTGAAACTGAAAGATGGAAGTCAGAAGTCGGTGACTCTTGAGGCTGCTCATAAAAATGCAACACAAAGCTGCGTTCCACCTCTCTCGGCGTGTCTGGGCGGGACTTCTGCCTGCCCCTGGCTGAAGAGGATGTGTCACAAATGACAGTCAGAATATGTTGGGCCAGAGCGCAATTAATCAAATCGAGCTGAGGTTAAATATACACATGTTGGGCATCAACGAATGGGGAATACTTTTATTGAAAGAATTCTATTTTTTAAAGATTTGAAAATATTTTGTATAGATTTTTCCGGGAACAGCTCTGTGCATTAATCCTCCATAAAATGATCGTTGATTAATGCAAACTGAGTAAAGAATTTTACTAAAATAAGCTGTGCATTTTCTTATGCATAAAATCTTAATTTTTGACTGGCGAAATATTTCGTGAGTATCCAAATATGCATCCATATCACGCACTTAGAGAGGAGATAAAAGTCATGCATACTTCATTCAGTATTAATTATAATGCACTTAAAAAATGGGAATATCTATTCAGAAATATTTATATTCATTGTCCAGCCACTGACTTTGATTTGTTGACAGCAGCAGGCTGGCACAAAGCTCGTAATATGCGTACCCCTCCCTGTTGCAGATGTCGCATGTGACGACCCACTTGAGTTGACATTTCTCGATGCTCACCCTCAACCGGATCCGTCCCCCCTCGTTTCTGTGGCGTGGTGGGGGTGTTGCAGGGTATATGAATAATTCAAATGGAAATGGAATCGAATCGCATAGGAAATGGGAACGAAAAGCGAAATCAAGCGATGCAATGCGTTCTTTTTTATGCAAATAATCAAAGATCCTTTTTGGGTTGGAACCCCCCATCATTGTGACTTACAGTGGGCCCTCAGCATATGCTCAAGCACACCGCCCACTGACAGGCTGTGTCCACCCTCACCTCCACCTACTTCAGGGCCATTCAGTTGACAGTCCGTACGCACACACAAAAGGAAGCTTGTGCCCAATTTTTGGATGACTTTTGACACCGCCTCGCGGCGTTCTTTTGAACCTCAGTGAGAGAGAGAGAGCTCGGAGCTTGAAGCTTGAAGCTCGTAGCTCGTAGCTGTGATGCGCTCGATGATTGCTATCATAATGTCCATCATCATCATCATCATCATCGTCGTTCGTTTTGTCAGAGTGCAAGTGTGAGAGGAAGTCGAAGGACAACCCCCAATTGTGGAATGAATGTGAATGGTCCTTCACTTGTTGTCATGCTGTCCGCTCTCTCTCTCACTCTCTCTCGTCGTTGGCTCCTGATTTCCTTTTGATGTTTGCCTTATGCACGCCCAAGCGACCATTCGAGTATCCATCTACCATCCATCCATAAGCACCCATCCACCTCCTTTATCCTTCCCATCGACAATCGCATTGACACAAAACTGACTTATTTGGCTAATTGAACGACACGGTTGGCTGATAGCTGGTTCAGCCCCCTCTACGCCAGCCGCAGCATGCAGATCTATTCCGGGGATAGCTCCGACTCCGCACTTTTCCCACTTTTCAGCTCGGTTATGCATGACGCCTTGGCACTTCATTGCGTCCATCCAATCTGCCCAGCCCAATGACATTAATTAAGCTAATTAATATCTATTGATAGCCAGCACTGCTAATGAGTGGTTTTCAGAATAAAGGTGGCAAATGCTGGAGGGGTTTTTGGTAGGGCGTGAAAGGAGGTTCAAGACGTGGGAATCACTTTTAATAAAATTATTGCCTACATTTTGAGGATTAAACTATTTAAATATTTAGATAATGAAGTTTAACCAGAAACATATCCGCTCCATCAGCTAATTCTAGCTTTAAGCTGAGTTGTAATTGGGAATTTTTCCCTCCGATTATTCAAAGTAAATTAAAGTAAAGTAAAGTACCCACAATATTTCCAGAATATAATAGCCCTTATTTGGGAGCATAAATATCTTATTGGGTAAGTTCTCTGTTGCCCAAAATAATTCATTTAACTACCACAATTTCAAGTACTTCAATTACTCATCCCCCAAAATATAATTCCTGCCCGAGGTACCGCCTCCAACAACCCCATTTGTGTAGCCCATAAATATGATTACTTCCACCATATTTATGACAGTTTTTTTTCGATCTAATAAAATCTGTTTACCCGCCATAAACAATTTCTGTAGGCGCCATTTGAAATCAGACCCATCATAAATATTTTGAACTATTGTAATTTTTATTGTGTGTGTTTTTGCATATAAATAATTTGTATCGCTCTAATGGTGGCGGCCACGCCCTCAACAACTGAAGCACGCAACAAGGAATCAGAAATTGAGGAATCAGGAAAAATATAAAATCAAAATCAAAATAGAGCAAAGGAAGATGTGTCTGAACGAAGCACTCGAGCGAGCACCTCGCCCACAGCGAAAAAAAAAAATAGAAAAAAATTATAATCCAATTCCATTGTTTAGCAGCAACCGCAGCAGCAGCAGAAATGCGAGGGGAGAAATGAAAATTGCAGACAACGACTGCGCTTATCACCTACAAAAGCGGAGAACAATGGCTCTAGATGGATGCAGAGAAGGATGGATGGCTGGATGGATGGCTGGATGGATGGCTGGATGGATGACTGGAGGGGTCTCATTCCCCGCTAAGCATCGACACAGCCCAGCAGTGGAGCGTGAATTGCAGCGTAATCTCTTCCGGTTATGATTACGCCCTTAAGTGAGGGTATCTTCCCGCGAACGGACAGGACGATGATGTGCTGCCAGGCAGGGGCATTGTCTGGCTTAATGCTGTGACCTATCAGCTTTGTATCTTGTATCTCTCGGCTCTCGTCTCTGCACTGTGCGCTGTGCTATGTGCTCTGTGCTCTGTTCATCTCCTTTTGAGCGCAATCTGCTGTGATTATAATTTCTTAAAAAGCTAAAGCTGCATTTTCCTTTCAATTACAAGGCATCACCATCTTAATGGCCATGTAAGTGTATCCACTCTCTGCTGCTGCTGCTGGCTCCTGCCGCCTGACAATGTGCTGGCAAAAACACTTAACCCACGCCGAGCCCGAGCCCGAGCCTGTGGCCCGAGCTGTTGACAACCTACGAGGAGGAGGAGGAGGAGGAGGATAGAACCTTCGCTGTTCGGTAATTGTGTCGTTAATTGTCGAGGTGTCGACCCCGCGCTCTCGCTCGCGCTCTCTGAACTATGACACGACGTTATCCTCCTACGCTTCGAATGAGACCCATATCATCCATGTACCATGTCCCCTCATGTCCCTCATGTCAATGGCTGGCTGCCATTAAAAAAAGGAAGCCACGGGTGCTGAAGATGCGAGCATTATGGCATTCTATATATCAGCATGAGTATGAGTACTTATAGTTTGGTTTCTGTTTCTTTTGTGTGTGAAGGATGGGTTGCAGGATGTGCAAACTACACTGCAAGAAATAGAAGTACACACCAAAAACTACAGCTGAGTTCTTGAAGAAAGATTTCCCTGAGTTTGCCAAAACTCTGTGTTATTCGTGAGCTGTGGCCGTAAAAGTTATCTTTCATCAATACATATTTTTATTTCTACGGAAAATAAAAGTTAAGCTAAGTATTGCAGAAGTTTTAATGGGAAGAAAGGTATGTTTGCATAAGGGTTTGTGGGGGGAGATTTTTATGGTTAGTTTTAGGGCTAGTTTTTTTACATTTTAAAGTCCCCTAATTTTGGCATCCATTGCAACGCATCGAAACATCCAAAAATTACTTTTTAAAAATCATTCCCCCTTCCATAATAAAAGATACTTTACTTTCTGTAGAAAATAAATATTCTAAATTAATTTCCTCTATTTTAAAGTGATTTTAATTTGTGGTTAGCATTTATAGAACTGATCAAAATATATATATCACTACTGGAGTCTCATAGAAGGAAACCTACCAATAAAACATCAGCCCACATTAGAGTCGAAGAGACCTTTTCCTCGTGTCCACCTAATTATTGTTGAACATAAGCACTTACAATATATATATGTAATAGCAATAGCAATACAAATCGAAATGTAGCAAGTGCAGCTGATGGGGGTCTCAGGTTTTGGGTCAGTTCGATTGTGTCAGAAGCAGTTGCTTGATTTCCCAGAGCCCCGGTGCCCTCGGGCACATTATGGACCGAGGTGAGAAGATACAAAATGATGACAATATATGATGGGATCTGCATGATGCTTGGCAACACATTGAAATGCATTCAACTCAACGTAACGCGGCTCAATTAGTGCGGTTCAGCGGCTTCCAATGCAGCTTCAGAGCGCTCTCCTCCTTCCTGTTTGCTGCCATTGTCGCGTCGCTTGTCGTCTGTCGCTTGTATACGTCCTGGGCCGCCAGTCGTCAGTCGTCAGTCGCCCGTTGCCGGCTTTATGTCAACTTCTTACACGCTTATTCACACCTGAGTACAAAAAAAGAGCGCCCGCCCCGCTGCCAGTTTGTGCTGCCTGACAAGTTATGAATATCCTATGCTGAATATCCGAGTGGTTTTGCATGGCCTTTATCTAGCCCACAAGGCATCGAGCTCTGTCTTCCTTCCTTCCTGCCACACCCCCTTAAGCACCTTCTCAGCGGCCCAAAGCGGCATATTGCCGGGCATTGAGGCGTCTCTCATTACGTGGCAGAAATCCGCAACACCGACATTCCATTAATTAGTTTCATGTGCTGTCAAGTTGTGACTGTTGTGGCTGTGGATATGTACTTATTCCAGGCCAGGCAGTTGCTGTCTTTCAGTTAGAAAACACTGAGAAAAAAGGCGTAGATGGGCTTTGATTGTGCAAACGAAATACTCCTATACTTAGAGTAGTTTGTGCAGCTTAGCTTTGGATTCTCTTACATAGCTATTGGTACTTCCTAAGGAAGAGTTATGATTGGACCATACGATTTTTATTAAGAAGAAATATGAAGGAGACACGCCAGAGATATAAAGAAAACTAAAGCTCTTTGACTCTCTAACGATTAATTATTATATTATTATAATAATAATTATTTATAATAATTATAATAATAATTATATACAAACGAATGATAGCAACACACTCATAATATTGCCGGATAATAAGCCGGATATATTTTGGCATGGGTTTCATACTTATGTAGCTATAACTTTGGAAATAAAACAATTTATTTACACACATTTTTTTAAGCTATTGTTCTTATTAAATTAATATTAAATCAAAAGTGATATTTTCCGTGCACTTAAACCCCTTGAAGTATAAAGAAGAATTTTTAGTTTTGGTTTCCAGCCACATCATACTAAAGACTGAAAGTTGCTGATGTTTATGTTATATAAAAGTGGACGGATAATGACAACATAACTACGACCACTACAAGATGCTTCCTTGTACAAACTTGTGTATGAAATCCTACGATCTTTTGCACTGGAAAATACAATAATCCAATCGGCTACAAATATTACTCATTCCTTGATCTCTGATAGCGTTTACTAGTAGATCATTCCCCTGTTGCTTCGTTGTCTGTGGCAATCCAAATAAGTTGACTATTTTTTTGCCGTCACACAAAAACAAACAGAAAAAAATACGAAAATTATTAGAAAAGTAAATAGAAATAGAAGGGGCAGCATTCACGGTATCCAGCAGCAAAGATGGTTTGTTGTGCACGGGGCAGTCAGCAGGACTTGACATACAACAATGCGTTCGAGGATAAGTCAACTAGGCGCAGCTTCATAATGAAAGTCTGCACAATAACGGCAGTAAGTTATAGTTCAAATTGGATGGATCCCGGTATGGATAACTTCCGTTTCGCTGTGTGCACCCACAGTTTATGCTGCTGGCGACGACAGGAGTCATGGCCATCTTTGTGACGAACGATGATGCCAAAGATTGGCTGCTCAAACATTTGTGGCTTGTCATTATAGCCGTGTGCGTGCAGATGGTAATTCTGATAATGGTCTGCTATTGCCCATTTTTATTCCGCAAGAAGCCAATCAATTATGTACTCCTCTCGATATTTGTCGCTGCGGAGAGCATAACATTATCCTTTATAACAATGCGATATTTGCCCGCTCAGGTGAGTCACAAAATGCACTAAAATTGCAACTATGTTGCCACCTTCTACTATTTTTTTAGGTGCTAATGGCCATTGGTTATACGGGTCTCCTGGTGACGGCTCTGGCCCTGTTCGCACGGTTCGCTCCCTGCGACTTTACCGGCTGTGGTCCATATTTGCTGGTCCTGTTCCTTGTGATGTTGATAATGGGCATTGTGATGATCTTCTACCGGTCGTATTGGCTGCTCTGTGTATACTGCAGCCTGGGCATATTGGTGTACTCGTTATATCTGGTTGTGGACATACAGATGATGATTGGCGGCACACATAAGAACCAGTACAGTGAGGAGGACTACGTACTGGCCGCCCTCTCCATCTACATTGACATTGTTCATCTGTTTATATACATACTCATGTTGATTGGCCTACTTGATGAGTAGTTTGAGTTTCGACTGTTTATTTGCTGCTAATACAAAATTTGTAAATGTATTTTAATTAAATATAAATTATAAGTATTGTCCAAACACCTATGAGCCTATTAAGTAACCTAGAAATATGATGTGAGGCACAGCAAGCGGAATTAGATACGACTCCCAGTATTTGGATTACAATTCCACATCTCAGAACTCTTTTCAGTACATCAGTTCAGTTTCTGTACAGCACTTTTTGTCAATCAATTTATTTGTTTGTGTAGCATTGCGTTTCCATTCAGTTGCCTTGAATCCTCGCAGCTGTGTGAACACATTTCGGAAAATTCCAAGATATATTTATACAAAAAAAATAAAATTAAAAAAACTTTAAAAAAAAAGCTACAATCATGTGTGAGCTACAGAAGCTATTGGATGGACTGAGCCTGACCTTCAACAAGTACAAGGAGCTGCGACGCCTCGAAATGATTGATATAATCAACAAACTGCGCTGCTGTCAGTGCGGCCACAGGATGCGAATGGCAGCTATTGGAATGGTTAATGGAAAAACGGAGGGGGAGGGGGAGGGGAACGCCAACAAATGTCCGGAGTCCCAAGTGTCCAATAAACGGAAGCTGCTCATCGGCTTGGGATTTGTGCTGTCAATGATACCCGTCGCCACAATTATTCTGGCCAGACGCTATAACCATTATCAGTCGCATGGCAGCGGCGCTTGTGTGTCGTCATTTCTATATACCTTTACGGATGACTGCGAAGTGATCTTTTGAGAGTGGATCCCCTGCCTTCCTGCCTTCCTGCGTTCCTGCGTTGCTGCATTTTTGTTGCTGTTTTATATTTTATATGTTCACTTTGTTAATCAGTTGGAATTGATTTTTGAATGTTTTTTCTGATTAACTCTGTTAATGTTTTGCAGAGTTTTTCATCTGTAATTTGTATTTCGAAATAAATTTGATCTAAATTGAATATATCTTATTTGAGAAAATATTATTAGAAACTGTCGCTTAAGAGTAACAGTTCCATACACTTATATTTGTATAAATATAAGTCTCTGTAAATGCACGCTTACATTGAAAGAAAGTCCCTTCTGTTGCGAAACATCATCTACTTTAAATTAATCATTTACTCCCACGGCCATTCCGGTTAAGCGGACTACAAAACAAGTACCTTGGGTGGTGTCCTTTCAACAGGGTTTTGCTCTGTAAATAGAGGGAGTGGAAGTCGTTGTTGGCAAGGGCGTGTCTGTCTGGCATTTATCGAAAACATTTCGTTTAAAAGTTTTTCCCTCGCCTCATGATTGGGCGCTGCCATAAATTATTCATAAACATAAATGCCAGAAAGAGACCAAAACTGATTGGGAAGAGTGAGAGGGAGAAAGAGAGTGAGGAGCGCAGAGATGGCTACGGAGAGAGAGTGTGCAGACGAAACTCAGCAATGTGGGGGTTGGGAGCTGACAGTCATCGACCCATCACTGAACATGGGCCATACATTCTGATTGAGTTATCAAGTAGAGCATGTAGCAGAGTTTACCCATATTGCTTCACCGCTCTTCTCCCACTCCCTTCCCACCTCGACATATTGGCCAAGTTGTTGGCTTGGCTCAATATTGACACAAGTTAATTGAAGCCCAACGGCTGGCAAAAGTATCAATGGCAAATGGCGGATGCCCGGTCCGGGTTCAACGCTGAACTGAACAACCACGCAGGGCACTTTTGCCTGCTCACATTGTAACCCACACCTACACACCCACACACCCTACCACCCATCCATCAAAAGGGTGGTTGTGCACACAATGCCCACCCATACTGTGGGTGTGGGTGTGGGGACGTACGACCCAATCCGCCCGTGAAAAGTTTAGAGCGTGCAGAGGCCGGCCAGTCGATTGAGTCGCACATGTGGAGCGTGTCGATTTCATCACCTGCTGTGCCGGTCATCTCCTGGACGGCTTTAATGGGCTCTGATTGCCCGGGACCCAGGCGTTTGGTAAAGGTAAAGGTAATTTTAAATCGAATATAATTGGGTCTATCAAAAGGTGTGCACATATGGGTACCATGCCGTTGAAGACAGGTTTGCCTTTTGATTGGGAGCTTCTAAGACTTCTGTAGATATAACAGCCAGAAAGCAGCTTTTCTGGGCAAAGTAATTGGGATCTATGGAGATGAAATTTTCCCGTAAGCGCTTGGATCTTGTTGTTGATTTCTTTTTCATTTCCTAATTAGTTTTGACGACATTTTCAACGAGATCTATAAAATCGAATAAATATACAGATATGATCTGTACATATTCCACTCTTGCATAAATTATTTCTGGATAATTCGCAGCATTTTCTCTCAGAAAGTTTTCGCTTGTTTTTGGTTTTTTTTTTCTTCCGGTAAACGTTGAATTATGTTTTATTATTATTCGGATTTCAATGCTCTTAAACGTAAAAACAATACACGATTCTTGGCAGTTAGTTGTATTAATCAAATGTGTACTTTGATATTATTTGGTGTTGGCCGCTACCCATCCTATGCTATGAATTTATACTATATACACGCTACTTGTCGATCCAGTGGCCATATGCCGTTTGCATATGGCCAGGTCTAGCCGGGGTTAAGTCACCTTTCAGTCCCAAACAACTTGGTTGCTAAATCGAGAATTAGATTTAGCGCAAAATCGAAATGGGCTTAAAGGTTTAGTAGTTAACAAGAGAGTGAGAGAGAGAGAGAGAGAGCAAGAGGGGGAAGGAGGTTGTGTTGTTGAAGAAAAAAAGCAATTTTTAATGTTTTCAAAAATTATGCATTATGTATTATTTTTCGTTTTTCTGAATTAGTTGGTTGTTGATTTTTTTGTTTTGGTTTTTTTTATTTTGTTTTGTTTTGTTTGTTTGTTTTTAGGTTTAGTTTTTTGAGTTTAGCAGATAGCATAATTAATCGTAAGTGTCGGTTTGTTCTAATTTAAGTTAATTTTAATACATTTCGTTTAGTTGTAAATTATTGTAATGTAAACTTTAGGACTAATACAAATTCATATCGTATGCATGTATATGTATGCATATAATTATAGGTAGTGTTATAATTGTTGTAAATACAATCGATTAATTAACTATTACAGCATAATTACAGAACAAAGTGCTTGGAAATCGCTCAATGGAAATTGTTTTGCTTAAATGTTTTTTTTTTTTTTTTCTATCTGCTGTGCCGCATAAAGCATCGGCTCATCGGGTTTCTTTCACATACGTAAGCATTATTACTCTGATAATCGTGTGGCATAAGTATAATGTTCTGGAGTACAATACATACATAGTATATTTATGGATAATTGAAATTTTGGAATATTTAAAATTTGACACAAAATTCTTCGCCATCATGGTAGTGTTTTCTTTTTTGTCGTCTTGCACATTTTGACTAATCCACACAAAAACAAAGAACACAATATGTAAAGGTAAACAACAGAACGAAAAAAAATGGAATACAAAATACACAAAATCATATACAAAAGAAGGCATAAATGTAAGCGCACTTTCTAACAATTCGGTTGTTCATCATCATAATCATCATCATTATCATTCTTGCCTTAAACTCAAATAACACTTAACACATACGAAAAACTGTTTGCTTATTAAACTTAACATTTATAGAATTGAATTCAAAGCTAAACGGACTTTTATTGCCATATAAATTAGTGTTTAAAAATTGAAATGCACACACAGAAACAGATTTCTTATCGGATCTAATAACTAAGCAAAAGTTTACATTAATTAATTGTTAATTCGAATTAATTACAAATTAGTTGATTGGTTGGTTTTGCTGTTGCTCTTGCTTGTGTGTGTGTGTGTTGGTTTATTGTTTGTTTGCCTTCTGCCAGAGTGTTTTTTTTATGTTTAGTTAAATAAATATCCTTTTTAGTTAGTTTTATCCCCTGCGCAGTTTTTCTTGTTTTTTCTTTTTTGGGTACTGCCTTCGATTAGTCTAGCCTAAGCTCTACACACTAGGAGTTATTCTCACAGTCATCGGGTTTGTGCTTCGTGCGTAAATTGCTCAATAGATCGGCACAGTTATTGACCATCATCAGATAGTCTCCATTCTCAGCTGTCAGCTGCTCATAATTGGTTCCGCCACCAACTCCTCCTCCTAATCCCACTCCTCCACCATTATTTGTCTTTTCCGTTTGTCTGCAAATAGAACAGTCAAATGACACACTATAGCATCTGCTTGCAGATGATTAATATTCATTGCCAAACTCTACCTATTTGTGGGGATGCTGCTGAGCATATTCCTGGACATGATCAATGCATTCTCCAGTTCCTTCAGCAGCAGAGAATTCTTCAAGTTGGCATGCAGCTGCATGGCTGCCTGCGTTGTCGTATAAAGTTTATTGATCACATTGTGCACCTGGGCTTCAGCTACAAGAAACAAGTATTTATTTGTTATATCTCCCACTTTTATCTCACATTTAAATGTGGTTCTACTTACGATCTGCTCCTTCATAATCTTCTGCGTTCGCCGCTCCGCTTCTTTGCTTGTTGGCATTGGCGCTGGGACTGCTGTTGTTGATCAATTTGCTCTTGTGATCAAAGGCCAAGTTACGCGGTCGGGGCGGCACTATGGGCTTGTTGTTCACGGTGCTATTTGGCGTCTCCTCGGAGCTGGAATCGTCTTGCATGGGTGTGGCTGAAAGGGTTATTGAGTACGATTAGTTTGGGGTATTTGACTATTTAAAAGTCAAGCAAATAGTTACAAATTATTGTATAAAAATAAATTAGAATATGGTTAATTCTTCCAAAAAGAAAAAACTAATTTCAGGCACCGTTTACAACATTTCATTATATTTATCCTCACACCGGCTTCTTTTTATACCCGTACCCAACTCTCACTCTGCCTCGTTCAGTGCGCGAGTGCCCTCTAGCGGAGAAGATGTAGATAAAAGATTTAGCAGAAAAAATCATAAGCTCAAAAATTTATATACTGACTGAGTACGGGTATAAAAGTAGAGTCGCGTCCCTAGAAGCGACTCACACGTTCCTTCTCGTTACATTTACATCCAAAGAACAATTCATCCTTAGTTAGAATTTTCTTTAAATTAAAATACCTAAATACGCAAAAATCCAATTATTTTGATAATCTTTGCTCTGCTCTCTGCTCGCAGGTAACTTTTAAACATTGTCTCTACCGATATTAAAGTCCAAGCTCAGTCCTAACTATTCGAGTCGGGATCGGGGATTTAAGGATTTTGTGTGCCAATTACAAGGCTCAGCAGCATCTTCTAAATGTTCCTTGTTCCATAAATAATGTTCATTCTAAAATGCAAACGCCGCGCTGCTGTGTGTAGAGGCGTATGGCCAAAAAGTTGTCCCGATGGGCGTGTGAACATGCAGCCCATTGCGTTTGAAATTATATAATTAGGCAACAATTTATGAAAATATTCTACCCTAGTGAAATGAATTTCCAAAATTCGAATATAGCGGCGGCTGTCTGATTATGTGGGAAGCTGTCGCTCTGTAGCAACACTGTATAGTTCTATCTTTCTCCATTGTGGCACTTGGCGTCAACATTTATCTTATATGGATGCTCTTATACAGTTTTTCGATCCCTTTCGGTCCTATGGTGGATATATCTGAAGGGTGTACCTAGGGTGTTGTATCCTTTTCTAAGGCAGGTACGTTAAATTAGTTCCTTAAAAACTTTTACTACTAACAAAATATTGCATTTTTTATGGTATTGCTTCAATTTCTATAAGCTTATTCCCAAGTTTGCGCTTAAATTTAGTTTTCATATGAACCCAAGTCTGTGTCTTTGTTTTTGTGCACAACTGTACTAACCACTGCTAAAGTTTGGCGTCTTGCGACGATTATTGTTGACATTGTTGATCTTGTTGCTGTACTGTCGATTGGCAGCTGCAAAACGAAAGAAAATATATAGTATTAGATTTGTCTGTTGATGTGTTGGATATATGTATGTCAAGAATTACCAATGGGTCCATTGCTGCGCCCCTGACCATTGCTGGCACTGCGCAACCGATTGCTGTCTTCGGGCTCCGAGTCGCTCTGTAAAGCAACCAAACAAAGTCAAAATTATTATTATATTATATTTTATATTTAATCCCCAACTTACACCCTGATTGAGCACATTCATGGAGTTGCTTGAGGCACCCAGTCCAGTTTTTCCCTGCAGACTGTTGCGTTTGCTGGCCGATCTGTTAACATTGCCATTGCGATGCTGCACCTGAGGCTTTTGCGGTGTTCCATTTGATTTGCTTGCTGTTATATATAGGAAGGGGAAGAATATATCACAGATTAGTTTGGCATATATTAATGGTAATATTTGGAGTCTTCTTACGCTTGCCAAAGTTGCCCATGTGCAGGTCACTCAGCGAGCAGGCTCGCCGTATGGATGACTCCTCGATGGGCATGGGATTGAGCGTTTTGGGATTACCTGAAAATGGTTTTTGTTTTGTAGACAAGCGATTAGTGGTTGGATAACACATGCTAAAGGGATTACGATTATCTGTTATCTGTCAGTGCTCGATCATCGATCATCGAATGGCGAGTGGGGTGGGTGGGTTGGTTGGGTCAAAAAGGAACACAAAACTAGGCATAAACGGGTGCAAAGAGGGGTACAATATGAAAGTGGAGTGTGTATCTGTGTGGGGGTGTGGAAACTCAAGAGGCACAACAACCAAGACGGTATTGGGGGGCTCAAACCTTGCTCCGTCATAAAAACACCCGCAGCAGGATGATCATCATCATCCGCATCATCCTCATCATCGATGCCCATGGGATTGTTGTCTGGTTCATCATCGGCAATGACCTCTTTGGCCAGTTCCACTTCATTGCCATTCCCATTGCCACCCAAATGGTAGGCAAAATCCGCACTCTCCAGCACATCCGGCAGGCTGCAATTCCTGCGCATATTTCTCGCATAGGCACACAAATCGGCATCTCTGGTGGCCTGATCCTCCAACAGATCCTCGTCGGGGGGCTCGCCCCTGGCCAACATATCAAAGTTCATGGTGAGACTCTTCACGTAGCCTTTTTCCTTGGAATTGCAATTGAAGGGACGCAGCCGCGACTCGGTGGCCAGGCGTATCTGCTCCATTTTGCGCTCCTCCATGGCAATCAGCTTCTCAATGATGTCAATTTTCTTGGCTATATTCTGGCACTGATGGCTGGTCGAATTGCCGCCGCCACTCTCGCCGCTGCGCTCCGCATTGTCCATGTTCTTGCGATACTTTTCACGCTCCTGCTGAATCTCATCGACCACGGCCTGCAGCTGTGGCTTCGTGTACAGCTTGAGGCTCTGCATATGCTCCAGGTTCTCGGGTGCATTGCCATTCTCCGCAAAGTACATCTCAAAGCTACGCTCACCATAGTCACTGGGCAGGCTGCCCACCTCCAGTTCGGGCACATACTCATCCTCCTGGTGGCTCTTGGCATTCCGCTTGGCACTGGGCGTATACTTGATCTGGGAGACAGTGTTGAAGCGCACGCTGATCTTGGGCCTGCCCATGCGCTGCTTCATGCTGGTGGCCCTGCGGCTGCTTTCGCTCGTATCGAAGCGTGAGACCTTCTTCAGGCAGCTCTGTGTGCCGGCCAGGGCGCCGCTGCTCACCGAACTGCGCATGGCCGGTCGCCGCTGCTGATGCTCGCGCTGCTTCTCCCGCTCGAATTTCTGCAGATTGTGCTCGAACTGCTGCACCACACTGGCCGTCCTGGACTGCGCTTTCTTTTTCTGTGCCTGCTGCTGCTGCTGTTGCTTCTCCAAGCAGGTCAATGTGCTCATCAGATTCTGTGGCTTGGCCGGCACCGGGGGCTTGGGCTTCAGTGGTTTCCGCACAAAGAGCGGCTCTCTGGTCTGCATGGGATTCGAGTTGCGCTGCTGCCGCTGCTGGGCAAAGTCTGTGCTGAGCGATTTGTTCACACCCGAGTTGTATTGCTTGTTCTTGGAGCGCATTGTGGGTATGTTGTCCATGGTGGGGCCCTGCGCCAGCCGTGGATATGTCTTGGAGCTGGGCAGCGGCTTCAGCGGCTCCAGATTGTAGCCCGTCACATCGAAGCTGTCGTAGGTGGCCGTTGTCGTTGTGGTTCGGGCCGCTGCCGCCTGCCGCATGTAGTAGTCAAAGCTGCCATAGGCATTGGGACTGTTCCCGTACGACTTGGACACGGGTCCGTGGATGATGAAGTTCCGTATGCCCGCGTGGCGCTGCATGGCCGCCGCCTGCAGTGGCCGCTGCTCGAGCAGGGCCTGCTCCAGCGGCGCACTCTTGCAGTCGCTCTCGTCGGACAGGACGCTCTCCAGGCTGTTGCAGTAGCTGCCGCCATCGGACAGCAGCGACTCCTGGCTCTGCTCGTGCGGCATCTGTCCGCAGCTGCTGAGGAAAAAGCTGGCGCTCGAATGACGCTGCGTCTCCAGGAAGCGCGCCTCCTCCAGCCGCTGCTCGCGCGCCGCAAACTGCTCCGGCTGCAGTATGTCCGAGAGGGAGACCTTCCGCTCGCACTGATAGATCTCCCGATACACGTACGTACACTGCTGGGTGCGTGTGGGCGTCGACTCCCCCGTGGAGCCCAGTCCCCGCAGATTGGCCGGCATCGAATAGGAGACGGGCAGACCACCTCCACCTCCACCGCCGCCCATTGGCATCTCATCCAGATCGCCGTACTTTCGCGTTATCTCATCGATCATCTTCTCGGTGTCCGCATGGATCATGTCCAGTATTGTCCTGGCATCGTCGGCGTACACCGAATGCCGCTTGGGCTCTGCGGTCATCATTCCGCCCCGCTCTGCCTCTGCGGACCACTCCACTTCCTCGTGCACCGGCGACACGGGACACGATTTGTAGTGCTTCAGTATGCTGGGCGTGCGTCGATTATTCCCGGCCGGATTCCGCTTGACACCCGGCCGCGCAGGCGCTGTCTGCGTCTGCATGCGCATCGCATGGGCGCTGCCACCGCCCCCAAAGGGCACTCCCGGCGGCGGATGAATCTGATGCACGCCCACATGATGCGGATATGGCGGATAGTGCTGTTGCACTTGCCGCATGGTCTGGAAGTTCTGCTGCAACTTGGATTTGGGTGCTGCACAATTGAAGAATTGCTGCTGCGAGCTGCTGCCAAAATTTGTTTGCTGTTGGTACGACTGTTGTTGTTGTTGAGTTCGTTGAGGTTGAGGTTGTTGTTGTTTCTGCTGTTGCTGTGGTGGAATATTGCTGGGTGGTGGTGTGGCATTTGTTGGTGGTGAATCGGAGGAGCTAATATACTGCGAAGTTTCATGGGAAGCAACTAATTGGGTTAGTCAACGTTTTAAAAATATATTTTAAGGGCAGGCATTCGGTTTAATATTTCAACAATTTTTACCACATTGGGAGAGCACAACAAGGAGAGCAAGAGAGCGATTAAGAGAGAGAGAGAGATATAAGGAGAGAGAGCAAACAACGGGAGAGAGTTTATTGGTTACAATTAGCCTTCTTTCTACATTCCAACAACAGGTTTTCGGGGGTATTTAAATTCGGTTCCTAACTTTTGGCTTTGCTCTCTAATCGCTTACCTGGCTTCGTATAACGTCCTGGACCACCGCCCGCTGTCCTTGAACCATCCAAATTACCAGCCAGACTCAGATCCGATATGCTATGGCTACCCCTCAGGGGTCTATGGCCGACCTGTTTAATTGGAGCAAAATTAAGGCAAGATTTTTATTAGTTATGCAACATCTAGTTTGGTTTTGTGGATTAGTCTTCTTTGGGTAAGCAAAATATACAACATTAAATAATATATTAAAAGAAATATTTGAAACAAAACATGGAATACATTTTTGTTAGTACTTTCTCCTAAGTTTTAGTTAGTTGATTATTTTGAGTGGGTTTGGTCAGTTCATGTTTAATTTTGTGAGTGATTTTGTGGCTGCTGTGTCAGCTATTGAGCGGAGTGAATGGTTCGATGGGTGAGTGGTTCGATGGGTGGCTTATCTGACTAAGCAACTTTCTTAGTTGTTATTTTTTCATTTCTTGTTCGGCTATTTTTAGACGCAGCAACTATTTGCCTAGCTAGTCTTACGTGTGTGCTCTCTGCCAAGATTGGTGTAAAGTTTGGAAAGCTTTCAACAAGCATCGGTGGTTCAGTGGTAGAATGCTCGCCTGCCACGCGGGCGGCCCGGGTTCGATTCCCGGCCGATGCATAAATATCTTTTTTGTTTATTGTTTCTCTTTTTTAGTGGAATAATTAAATGGTTGAACATCTATTAATTATTATTTTGTTATATAGAGAACTCCGTATATTTAGTGTTCCAGTTAGTACCAGATTACTAGGGTGGTCTGTCCTCTAATCTGTCCGACTGCCAAGTGATTTTTTCTATAGAATCTTTGCTCCAGACATAAGCTGTGTGTTTTATCTTTTAGTTTTTGGGAATTAAAATATAATATACTCTTTCTAAAAATGTATGGAATAAATGGGGCTTTTTTTTCTATATATTCATTTGCCAATTTCGTTTCTTTTTTTTATAGGAACTAAAATATCAAGTGAAATAGTATTTGTCACACAGAATAGGAAATATCACAAATATATCCCCCATTGATTATATTGAATATTTCAACGTTTTAAGCTGTTATTATCGCATGCGATCTATACATTAGTTCACTACAATAAGAGGAACTTTTTTCGAATAATTTAAGTGTATATCCACCATCGATTCCACCTTTAAACGAGGTCTATTATTTTTCCATGATTGACTGACTATCACCAAGTCTGCATCAGAGATATTTATTGCGTCTGGCTATAAAGCAAGCATTATTTAAATTCAGATTGCTTTTAGCTGCAGCACATACTAGGGCGAGGATCATCTTGCCAAATAATTCTAGTATGAAGCATTTCTTTTTACACTATTCTCATCAAAAAATCGTTTACACTGCTCCTCAAAATAAAGCAAAATTTTCTAAATGCCATAAAGCAGCTAAAGCGAACAAATATATACGAGTATATGAGATTCCCTTAATTATTATAAAACAAAGCAGCATATTCCCCAAGCAGAGAATTTCCCTTCACTTCTTCGCTCCTTTAATGTCATGTTGGCTGTGGATTTGATTAGTCTGTAAGCATTGGTGAGAGTGTCAAAGTGTGGCAGAAGCATCAGTAGGTAACGCAGAACAAGTGTATCGTCTACGACGGAAAATGGAACTCATTTGGGGGGGGGGGCACCTCGGCTATAACATTTAACTTTTTGATGCCGTTTTTGCGGGTACCCTAAACACACACATAGGATACGGGTGCAGAGGGGGTTGTGTTGTTGTATTATGTGGGGGGTATATAGTAGATTGTTGGAAGACAGACACCGAAAAAAAAACAAAACAAGACACACATAAAATATAAAAGAGTAAACGGAAAAGAAAACAGATACATAAATTAAATGGGAAATAAACGAAAAAGAAATGCCCCATGGAGCAGCACTAAAATAAAACACAGATACAGATACTAGAACAAATACAGATGCAGCAGGCAGCAGGCACACCCTGAGGCGGCCTCTGCATCGTCCCTGCTCCCGTTCCCATTCCCCGTGCTGTACTCACATTCTCCAGCTGCTGTTTGACCTTGTTGATGACCTGCAGCAGCTCCTCCTTCTTGGTGCTGGTATATGACTTGGTAATGGTGGGCGTTGCCGCCACACCCCCCTTGCCCGACTCCGTATTGTGCTTGGCACTGATGCTGCGACGACCTGCAGCGAGAAATCGAAATGAGAAATGTGAAATGGACTCGACGGGATTTTGGGGCTGGGCCTTTGCGCTTACTGGTGGTGCCACGCTCCAGGGGCCCCGCCAGACCACCGGGTCCCTCGGGCAGGGCTGCATGAAGGAAACTATTACTGCTCTGCGGCAGATTCTCGTTGCTGCCGCCCAAAGTGGAGGCCAGCGAACGTTCCGCATTCTCGGCACTGGGCGTGGAGCCCTCGTCCTCGGTGTCGGAGGTGCCAGTGCCTGTGCCCGTGCTGGCGGTATGCGAGCTGCCATTGCCACTAGCCGTCGGCAGCTGCAGGCCGGACTTTTCAAACTTCTGTCGTCGCACGGACTTCCGCAGCTCATCCTCGTTCATGGCCGTCACTTTGAAGTCACTTTTTGGGTGGGGGGGGCAGGCAGAGAAATCCATTAAATTCATGAACATAATTTAATCGGGGATAGACTTACGTGGGCGTACTGGGCGCCAGATTGTTGTAGAACATTCCATGATCGGAGCTGGTTCGCTCGCCATCCGATATGTCCTCCACATCGCCATCGTGATCGTGGGTGTGCGGCGTATCGAAGCGCAGTCCGGGCTTCCGTTTGTCGGGCAGCTGCAGCCGCTGCTGCTGCTGCTGCTGCTGCTGGCCCGCGCCGACAGCTGCCATGGCACCGTTGCTGTTGCCGTTGCCGTTGCTGGCCGTCGCCAGGGTCAGGGCGGCGGCGGAGGAGGAGGATGATGATGACACGGAGACGGTCACGGTGCCATTGTTGCTGCTGCCAATGAACTTGAGTTCGCCGCGACGCGTCTCCATGCCCGAATCGATGGACGAGTCCTCGCTGAGATATGTCTGATTGTACATGATGTCCTTGGACGAGGCACTATTATAGTCGGACGTCTGCACATTCACCCCGCTGTGGCCGCCCACGGAGGACACTGTGCCCAGGGGGCTCTCCGAATTGGAGCGCAGATCATCCGCCTCCAGCTGGCTGCTGCGCTGCGCCCAGCGTCCGCGTGCCCGCGGCGCCACCATGCCCAGCTGCTGGCTGGGCGACGAGCTGAGATTGCCCATCGAGGAGGCCGCATGCATGGCCGGTATGGACGACGAGCCTCCACCCTGAGCACTGGGCGTGGGTATGGACAGCGCCCCGCTGTCGGAGTCGCCGCCCGCCGCTGCCGCCTTTCGCATGGCCCACTGCGGCAGCTGTCCCACATCCGATAGCCTGTCGGCCACGGCGAATTTCGGCACCATTTGCGGCTGTTCGATTTCGCTGGTGGGCGACTCCAGCACAATGCCCTCGGGCGGCGATATCGAGGCCAGGGGACGCGGCAGCGGGCCATAGCCCGAACGCAGACGCTGCTGCGACATTCTGGCCTGCATGGTCACAATCATGTCGTGCGGCACCTGCCAAATGAAGATGCAGCCATCGCCGCTGGCCGATATCAAGTGGCGGCAATCGTTGGTGAACTTCAGGCCGGTGACCAGCTCACTGTGGCCATACATGCGGGCCATGCACTCGCTGGAGTAGTAGTCGTAGACGGCCAGCGTTTTGTCCGTGCAGGAGGTGGCCACATAGATGCCGCTGGGATCGAGGCTGAGCTTGATGAGGCTGCCCTCATCCGAATGGGAGCCCTTGAAGGTCTTCGTTTGCTTGGCATTCTGTGTGCCATACACCCGGACATTGCGATCCTGGCAGGCGGTGAGGATATGCTTGGAATTCGAGTCCACCTCCATGTCGTAGAGCGTGGTCTTGCCCGAGGTATTGGTGCCACGCATAAAGATGTTGCCCTGCAGCAAAGAATTCACATGCTAAGTAACATAATTCGGCGTGGGTATTCTGGCCAAGACTCACCTGAAAGCTACGGAACATTATGGACTTATCGGCGCCACAGCTGATCATTTGGAAGTTCAGTCCGGCGCCCACAAACTTGATCGATGTGATCGCAGCGCTGTGATCGTCGAGCGTCTGCAGCAGCAGATAGTTCTGGGCCACATCAAAGACGTGTATGAGCCGATCCCGACTGGCACTGGCCAGCAGTTTGCGCTCGATCTTATCGTTGGAGTACTCCAGGCACAGCACCTCCGATTCGTGCGCCTCGATGGTGTTCACCAGCTTCAGATTGACCAGATTGTAGACGCGTATGTTGCCGCTGCGATCGCCGCTGGCCAGATGCTGCAGCTCGGGGCTGATCTTGATGCAGCGCACACCGTTGCGGCCGTCATAGGAGGCGTTGGCCGTCTTGTCGGACAGCGAGGAGCTGCCCTGATCCTTGATGAACTGCAGCTCGTCGTCGCTGTAGACGATCTTCAGCAGATCCTTGGAGTAGATGTTCTTGCGATAGATCTCATTGTTGGCACATCCATCGATGCCCCAGACGCGTATCGTGTCGTCCGAGGAGCAGGTCACAAAGCAATCCTCCGGCAGCGTTTGCGATGGCTCTCGCTCCAGATTATATGGCACTGTCTCCACGCCCCAAATGCACGTGGAGTGATACAGGAACGAGTGCGATTTGCCCACCCTCGAGATATCGCGCAGATCCCAAATGTACAGCGAATGATCGTTGTAGACGCAGCTCACCTTCGATCGCTGCTCATCGAACACCATGGCAATGCAATCGGGAAACTTGGCCTGCTGCGGCACCGACATTATGTGATTGATCTGTATGCCCTGGGCGACATCCACGCCCAGGTAATGGGTGCGCGGCAGCGTCGTCACATACTCCAGTGTGGCCGCATTGAAAATGCGTATGATGGACTCGGCACAGCCCACGAGTATGAAGCGCTCGTTGACGCAAATGCAATTGGCATTTGTGGTGCGGCACTGCACCCATTTGTCCAGCAGCCGCCGCGAACTAAACTCCACCAGATGGCCCTGCCGGGTAATGGCATACGTGCTCTCCGCACAGATCCCCTTGCCGCAGGCCACCGCACAGAAATCATTGTCACGCAAATCACCCAAAATAGCGCTGCGTCCCATCAGTGGTATGGGATCTTTGTACTGTTTATAAAGAAACAAAATATAGAACTTTAATCATGGATTCTTTGGGTATATTTAATGCTGAGCTTTTACCTTGCGCACACCTTCCAAGTACCAGTATTTGACATGACGATTGCCCACGGTGACAAAGTAGTTGCCATCCTCGGCAAAGCAAACGGCAGCCACCTTGGAGCTAATCTTATTCGAGGCCATCTTTAGGCTGGCCCGCCAGTCGAACACATTTACGATCATGTCGTGCTGTGAGCCAACTGAAACCAGGTACTTTCCCGTGGGCGAGAAGGCCTTAAAAAAAAGAGAGAGAGAATGTCATTAATTAATTAATTAATCGTTTAATGAATGCATATCGAATGATAATAAAGTCTTCGATGGATTAGTATCATCTAGTATATGAAATCATATTAAAACTCTCAAGAATCGCAATGAAAATGCATTCATAAGAGATAATTCTTATTTTTTTTTCGATAAAATATCGATTTTAATATCGATAAATCGATTATTTAACTATTTTAAGACAAATATTCCCTCTTTGACTATATTTCTTGGTTAAATCTTTGAACGACAACGGAAATTTATTGACTTATCGATTTTAGATATTTTCGATATTTATCGATTGACATTTTTTCGCTGATTCTTATCTGTCTACTTACCACACAGGTGACGGCATATTTGTGATCCACAAACTCGGCAATCACACTGCCGCCGGTGCAGTGCTCCAGATTGCCATTGGGCGTTTCCAGCTCCCAGACTTTAATGGCCGGATTGATGCCACATTCGCCGGTGGCCACGTAGCGGCCGCAGCGCGAAAAGGCGACGGATGTGAATGCTTTGCGGGAGGTATTGACCAGATAGGCCTGTGTCTGACGTTTGGCATTGAACAGCACCACAGTGCAGCTGTAAACAAGCGAAAGAAAAAAAAAACACAGAATATTCAATCAGTTGGCGGATTCATTAAATATAAAATGGCAATTTCTCTTTCTCTTCACAATCATTTTGGCGGTGACCCTTTAAGGACGTCCTTGACCAAGGCACAGGGTAAATGTTGGTTACACATTTAACATGCCCAAGGATAGCCCCGACCCCCGACCACGTTGCTTCCTTTCTCCGTCCTCCGTTTTGCCTTGCGAGGCGACGAGGCGAAAGAGTCATGCCCGCCCATGTCCTGCCCTTCAACCAGTTCCTGCCTGCGTTTAACCCTCTTATGACTGAGCTTAACTGCCTGGCATCCTGCCTGCCTGCCATCCAGCCTCCCTGCCTGGCTGCCTGCCTGCCTTGTTATTAAGCTGCTCTTTGGGTTTTATTTCAGCCAGCATTATTTCTGTTGTTGCTCAACGTTAATGAGAACATCACGCCCACATCTTTCACTTGTGTATATGTAGTTTTATACCCTCAGCGAAAAGGATGCCCCCTAAACATGCTTGTGTCATCAGCTGCTGGGAAACACAAATTGGGTTCTACATTTAATTGTAAACTAAAAATATATTGAAATTAGCTATAGCTATATTTTTTTCCTCAGTGCTCCCTTAATCCTCTTTTCTAGAGCATTCCCCATTCGCTGTTAAAGCTGCCAACATTTCTGCTCTCCACATTTTCTATTTATTTTCCTCCAACAAATTGTGTGCTGAGACACACAGACTTGGGGGGCCGCTGAGAGGGGCTCTACTGTGCTCTGCATACATTTTTTTTTAATGCACATAATTGGTATAATTCCTGAGCTTAATTTACTGTCATAGAAATGTGGCAACAGATGCAAAAAAAAAAAAAGGAAAAAGAGAAATTGAAAGCAGCTGAAAAGCCAAATCAAAAGGATCAGCGTATAACACCTAATTAATTGAGGGCAACTGTTGACATTACGCATACGCACTGGTGTGCTAAGATAACTAATTGAGGGACTTTCCAAGCTCTCTGCAAGCTCCATTTAATTCCCCTTTGCAGCTGTCACTCCCCGGACATTTCCTGCCGCATTCTCCAGCTGTGTAGCTCCGTTTAACCAATCAGTCAATGATAATGATTATTATTAGTATTATGCAGATTACGTATACGCAGCGTAATTGCCAATTGTGAGCAAATGTTCAGTGACATATGCAAATCCTCACGGCAGGGTACTCTCTGTGGAATCGCATTGACATTAAATGTGTAACCAGCTGACGTTATGTCACCTCCTAGCCTGTCGCTCCTATTACCTCGTGCCCCTCGTCTGCCCCCTCTGTGCATGTCACAGAAATTTCACTAACTGAAATTTCCCCCCCGTCCCCCCGTATGTGAAATGGCAGCCATGTATGACAGTCGTGGAGAGATTAAATCAACAATTTTCATTGCAGATTTTCATTTCGGTGCCAAATGCAACCTTCTGCCTGACGGAACTCGATTTTTCTTTCGAGGCCAAAGAAAAAAGGAAATGAGGGATCCACGGATGCGTATGTATGTATGTGTGTTTCCTTTAATTTAAAGTTTTTTTCTTACCCCGCTGGATAGGCCAGGAGGCCGCTGACTGGTGAAACATCCAACGCCGCATTGCTGCACACAGTCAGACCCAAGACTTTTTTTAGTTTTATCTGCAAAGACAGAGAGAGAACATGAGAAATCATTAGATATTGCATCACTATCTTTTATGTCCCTACTTCTTATGTGGTAAGATATTTGTTTTTTTTATTTTTGGCTCAGACAAGGTCGCTCTGTAGATTGTGGAACATTGAACCATTCGTAATATTTGCCCAACATTCAGTTGAAAAAAAAAACAAACTACAACTTGTTGTGTGAATTGCTAACGCACACAATTCGCACATTTATCTTGTTGTTATTTATTTTTTTTTTGGGTTGTTTGCATATCCCAAACCCCCACAGCCTTATACGACTTACATAAACCCCAAGATTAACATGAGAAAAACGAAACAGAAATGCCTCAGCACTCACTACACACACATGTTAACATGATTTTCCAATCATATTTTTACCATAATAATCAATTGGCTTGTGAATAAACTTGGGTTAACTTTTGACTTGATTTGGGGAGAAAGTTTGAGGTTGAATTAATCAAAAGGCAATCAATGAGCAGCCACAGCGGAAATGCAAAGAAATCTTGGATTTTTTCACTGCTATGATTATGGTTTTCGGGCGCGGCACTTAAGAAGGGACTTAGGAATATTCCCTAATTAAGGAAAAAAGATCAAAGCTATGTTCTATGGAAAATTCGTATGCTAATGAATGCATCGAATATAGTCAATTTTCAATTTATAATTAAGATTTTTCAAGAAATTTTATGCTATTAAACAAAATATATAGTTTTTCCCAAAAATTTAATTTAAATTTGATTCATTAATTATTCAGAATAAATTACTGAAATGTTATTTCTGTCTCATTTAAAAATCTTTCTTTAAACTTTTATTGTGTTTTATTTCTTTATAGAAAAACGACTTTTACTCTGCCTCTTTTTTACCCCAACAATTCTCTAACTACCTTATAATTTTGCACAGTTCTAACTTTGGAAACGTAAGACCCTGCTAATGATTTCATTCATTAAAAACAAAACAACTATTGCTCTTTGTATTTTGTTCGTATTTATGTTCATAAATGCCGCCAGCGTCGAGCAGCGGAGCAGCTGTTACGCCTCACTTGAGAGCCTCACCTTGATCTTGCCCAAGCATTTAAGTTATGGGTTATTAGAAAACACAGAGCAGCAACAACAACAACAAAAAAAAAAGGCACGAAATAACCATAACAATTAAGGGGCGTACAGCACTATAGAACTGAACACAACGGAACGGCACGGCAAGCGAACGAACGAACGAACAGGTTGTATGTATATTTTGAAAAGGAAGTGCAAGAGTCAGGTTGAAGTACGCTGCTCCACTGACTACCGCATTCATTGAATATATACAGAAAATACTTATGGTACATATAGACATTGATTAGTACACCCAATTGAGTGGGCGATCTCACTTGGCTTCAAGGCACTCCATAAAAAAAAAACACTTCCATCAATGCGGGCGCATTTGCACAGAGAGCATCCGAAAGATACTTGAATGATCTGCGTCGCAGAACCCCACCAGATACAAACTAACGAATACATTCAGGCTGAGATCATCTCGAGTGAGAGAGAGAGAGGGAGAGAGAGAGGGAGAGGGCGAGTGTATTTTGTCTACTACGAGAATATTTTTTGTTGTGGTTTGTTTCACTTAAGCAAATAACAGCCACACCAACGCATACGCAGCCTTTAAAATCTATATCTTAATGCATAAGGTCGATCTATTCCAACCGGTTTCACACTTCTCTCTTTCTCGCTCGCTCCCTCTCAGTATTTCCCAGTATTTCTCAGTATTTGTATCTCTCTCTCTCATTCGAATATTTGCATCTTTAATGACAATAATATGCCGTGAAATTGTAAACAAATTTCGGAGCATGACTAAAATACGGCAACAATGAACAAATCTGCTAACCATGGCTGAATAATGATAGTGATAAAAGCTACGAATAGTATTGTATGCTAACCCCCAGAAATCATGACCGAGTGGCATCGATTTCATTTAAGTGGCAGAGAAGGAGTGAGTAAGAGAGGTAGTGATCGAGAGGGCGAGTGCACGGGGGAGTTATGGAAATAGAAATGTAGCAAACAATTACGGGGCGTATGCGCAACCTAATCCATGCGCTTTGATTGCAATGGTGAGGCAGGGGGCGTGCTTTAATTTGATTTCGAAATGATAATTAAGCAAAAGCAGATGCCGCCACAAAGCACATGGAAATAACTAACTGGGGATTTCTCGGGGATTTCAACAGATTTATGTGTATATTTCTATGCAATTTTAAAGGTTTAATTAAAGCTTTTATTTAACGGATATATTTTTTAATTTCCATATTGCACTGCTTTATATTTTTAATCAAATTTCTGGTCGAATTTCCACTTGTTTATTCTTCTTTTTGGGTAGTTTTTTTTTCAATCGAAAAATATGACTATATTTCCTTCACAATCAATTAAAATCCTTGCCACTCTTTTTGGTAAGTTACCCTAATCTATTTTCTATGTAGCCACCACAAACAGATGCCACCGGAGTCCAACAGAATTTTAAAAATCATTAATTTTACACATTTTTACTTTGGTTTTTGTTTTGTTTTGGAAACGGAAGTCAACACACGCCATCCATCAAAGCCAAATTTGGGTGTTGCCAAAAAGAACGGCTACGGCTACGGCGCACAGCCGAAAAAACATTCAGCAAACATTCTTTTGTTACAAATTTGGTTTAGTAGCGAAATTTATTGTGAGCCGAGCCGAGAGCTCAAATTTCGATTTTGTGTGACAGATGCGGCAGTCGAATGGTAATTAATTATTATTTAATGTTGACTCGTTTCGGGGCTTGGGGATCGAGATCCAATGGAGTGACGAAATCATGGCCATGACAGCAAAATAGCGTAAATTGGTCAAGAAGCACAGAGAAAAACAGTGGCCCACAGCAAAATCACTTTTCGGTCAAGTGGCCTTTTTGGCTTTTGGCCCAATGCCCGGACTGTGTTAATGAAATGGCCAGTGGTCTGTAGTCTGTGGTGCTGTGGTGTATGATAATCATGAAGTTTGTGCTGTCGCTGCTGCTGGAGCTGTTTACTGTTTCGAGCCAAGTTCAATGCACGCAGCAGTTGCAGCGGATTGTTGGCCAAATTCTATAGCTACCCACATGGGATCCATATGGGATTATATCTGACTCTGCCGCCCACAACTTCTGCTGGCAGAAAGGCCACAAAATAAGCTGAAATATATGTGCCACGGACAGGTGTCAACCAAGAATCCAGCCAACAATCACGCAATGAAAATGTTTACCTTAAAGCCCCCACGAGAGAGGCCATCAAAAAAGATTTATTTATGCAAATGGCTGAGAACCAAACTTGACTGCAAAATGAGGAAGTTTCTCAACCGAATTTGGGTTGCCAATTTGGATGGCTGTAATTGCAGCAAACTTCCAGTTAAAATACATTAATATTTTATAATAAAAACCATGTTCAGTAATAATTATATTTACACATGGCATGCCGCAAATTGTTGGCTCGGTTACACTCCAGCAGCCAATAACAACCATCCACCAACCAACTGATGGCGCCTCCATCAAGTCTTAGCCGCAGATTTGGCCACAAAACGCAAAAGCCCGGTTAATTGCCCGCCCGGTTTTAATCAATAAAAGAGCAGGCGCCGGAGCAGGAAAAGATTTTCATTCTTGAATAATTAATCCATGAATTATTGAAATGCTGATAAGTCAGCGCAAAGGAATATATTCTTCGTTTGCTTTTGGCTTATAAAATGAATATAAATTGCAATTATGTTAACTCGAAGAATGTTGGCATAATTTAAAGTTTGATTTGTGGTTTGGATTTATTTTCGTAGAATTTGTTTTAGACTAAAAAAAACTGAAATATATTCTCCAGCTTAACTTTATTTCTGTTATTTTATTGACATATTTTTGCACTCCTTTTTGTCTGTCACGGAACTTTAAATAATATATTTGTGTGCCTTATTTGATTTATTCTATAGTTTATTTTAATTAAATTAATACATAATTTTTAATAGTTAATAAACTTAATTTTTTCTATCATAATTTTCAGTTAATTTCAAAATAGGTTCCTTTTCAAATTCTATTTCTTTTTCTATATAATTCTTATTTGCAATCTTTTCTTGTGGCCACGCTTTCAGCATTTTCAATTGGCTTTCATCGGCTTATTCGCTCCCCCTCGTACATGGCCCTCATAGCAAAGCAAACAAAAAATGGTACAAAAAAGACCTACATACAAATGGAAGCTCAATAGACGAGGGGCGTACCTGCATAGATACATTTGTATCTACAATGCTATTACGTGAGCAAAATGTTTATGACTATGACAATAAGAGCCAAAAACCAGAGCCAAAGCCAAGACAAACGAATTATAGATGGAACTTTGTTTGCCTTTTGAGAAGCTAAAGGAATCTACCGATAGACTCAGATTCTTTACAGCTTTGCGAAGCTGCTGATATTGAGATTCCTTAGAGTTCTACAAAGGCTACCGATATTGAAATACCTTCAAGCTTTTAGATGCTGCCGACAGCCAACGAGATCCGTAATTGCCTATAATTACCAGAGGCAGGCACAAAACAATTTTAGATCCAACAACAACAACAGAAAAACTATATGCAACGTAGCGGCTAGCGGGAGTAGAAAACCACAAAAATCCATTACAAATGCGGAGACAAAAGTTGTGTGTGCCACATGAATCATGCGGCGGCCAAGACCAGGTCCAGCGGCACCATGTGGGCCGCAACAATGTTTTAACGACAGATAAATATACAGATACAGATACATATACATGTATCTAACATCTAACTGTAGCTCTAGCTATATCTAAACGGATGTTGCTTTGGCAAATATGCAAAAGCGGGCAAAAAAGAAAGAGAAAAGCCCAGTCAGACGGCAGGCAGACAACAGAACTTGCTTTCAAATGAAAGTTGTCGCCAGTCTCCAGTCTCCAGTCCGATTTCATTCCATCTACATACAAGTATCCGTACTCGTACTGGCATCCGTATGTGGAACGACCTTTACCTCATAGGCTGCCACATCCTCCTTGCCGTAGATGGCAACTGGCGACGAGTTTCGTGGGGCAAACATTTCTCAATCCCTTTTTGAACGGCAGCAGGCAAAAACATTCCTTGCACCAAAGATATTTCACTTATTTTTGTTGGTTAATTGTAAAACTTTAACTTCTTTTTTTATGGCACATTTGAGACAGACGCCCACCAAAAAATAAGTTTATTTTTTTTTTTTGGTTTTGGTTTCAGGTGTTTTTGTTGTATTTTGTATATAAATTCGTAATATTTTTTGGGGGCGTTTCGTATAATTAATAATACACTTGAAATAATACTTTATTTGTCGGTTTTTCTGTTATATATTTCCTCTATATATATTTCTGAGTTTAAGGTTTTGTTTTTTTGTTCGTTGCTTTTTCGGATGACTAGTCTTTTATAACATTTGGTTTTTATTTTCTTCTTTTTTTTGCGACTTTGTCAAGGTCGTGTTGGGTGTTCTCTTCGGTGTCTCTCTCTCTTGGAGTTCGTTTCGTTGTATCTTTCAGTTTTATTTGTTGCGGTATCTGGTATCTTTAACTTAATTTTCCACTTCTTTTTCAAACATTTATTTTTTATTTTTCCACTTCTTTTTCTACCATTTATTCATTCATGTTCCCACTACTTTTTCTGTGATTTATATATTATTTTTGCAATACTTTTTAATCATTTATTTTTTCATTAGATTTCTTTTATGAATCTTTTATAAAAATATTCGTTGCACGTTTTTTGCTGCGAGCTTTTGCTAATTTCTTTTTTACAACAAATAAAGCATAGCTTAAATAATTAATTCAGAAAATATTTCTTGTCGTTTTATTGCGGTTATTATCGGCGTGTTTTGTGTGTTTTGTGTTGTTGTTTTTGTGTTGTGTCAGCCGTTGTCGCGTATCGTTTTTTAGCGCGGCTCAAATGAAACTGCCGCGATTCCAACAGGCGGCCAAGGCACACGACGCGTTTGTTGTCGTAGACACATATCGATATTGAGTTAACAGAGAGCTTGAGACGACAAGACAGAGAGACAAGACAAAAGAGCGCGGACTGGGGACTGCGGACTGGGCAGTCGGATTGAGTTTTTGAGAGACACACACACCAACACACACACACAACACATTTGGTAGCACGCACTCGTATCTCTTAGATACTCAATCTTCAAACTGAGTTCGCGCTGGCTTGTCTCAGCGGTCGCGCTCATTAATTTGCATATTTCGTTAAGAAAACCAAAACAAGAATCAATTCTATAGGTAATGTTACGACTAAGGGATACCCAGTAAAGAGATTCTTTATGATAGAAGATTTTTTAGCCGAGAAGTTTCTTTATCACCCAAGCAGAAGTGGAAGATGTAATTTTGGAATGTTATAGTTAACCGATCGTAATGATTTTCAAAATTATGGTAGCTAATATTTATATAAAATTGAAATCCAAATATTAGCTTAGTATCTTAAAAACTGTAATTGCTATGCGCACTTAAACGATTGTAGGAGATAACTAAGTGTAATATATTATTCTTAGATGCCACGACACACATATTCATGTACCCACACAACCTATACACCCTTTTCCACTACGATTACCAGGTAACCCCTCCCCACCTAAAAACACGTTTGGAATACAGTCCAAAATAAAAGGCGATCGGATCGTTGATTCTAACACGCGATTCTCGACACACAAATCTAACACAAAGCGTACTTCAAGTGCAACTTCGAGAGAGCGGAAAGAGAGCGTTTCAGATTTAGAGACTCTTATAATTAATCAAATGTCACTAGTTGTGTCACCCACGATTTGCTTTAATTAGTTAATAATTTACATACATATATATGAATAATCAATAGTGGAAAGTTATCAATACAGATCGGTTCGGTTCATTCGGTGTTCATTGCTGTGTGTGTGTGTGTGTGTCTGTCTGCACTGCCCACCGAATGCAATAAATTCTCGGGCAAACAGATCCATATTCCACATTGGAATTGGAATTGTAGGCGTACAAGTTCCCTACAACTGCCGTATGCCGTATGCTGTAAAATGAAATTAGGCAAATCAACAACAGAAAAACAAGCAGCAGCAACAGCAGCAGCAGATACTCTCGGGTCAGCCAAGTGGAACACAGTTTAGTGGCCATGCAGATAGTTGGATAGATGGCTTTTCCGTGTGTCCGTCCGCCAAAGCCCGTTCCAGATGTGGTCGCTGGCTATGACTAAATAAAGCCCTAGAATTATACGAGATTGTTGCAGAGTATCTGAATATATATGGCGAGCATCTGACCAATCGTTTATGACTTATGGCTGTGCTTCATTTGGGTCCGAGGCTGAGGGCTTTTCTGCGGGTTTACACGTTTGGCAATATTATGTAGTAAATTATTGCGAATTAAGGCACCTCTAAAACTATATTACTCGTACGCTAAAATTGATAGAAGAATAAAGTCTTTTCGTAGAATATTTCCGGATGCTGTGATGTCTTTTTATTTCCCATATGCATAGTTTTCAGACACATTTCCCAACTGCCTAAAGTTAAAAAAAAGTTAACCCCATCCGCTGACATTTCCATGCCCCCTCCCATAAATCTCGCTTTCATTTCAAGATCCCAACATCGTGATTGTGTCAGCACGCATAAACTTGACGCTTTAGGCCTCTCTCGTTCAAGTGCAATCATAAGCCCAACTATTGCACAAAGGCCAATCAAAAAGGTAGCTACCTTTCCATAAACAACTCGCCGCCACACACAACAGACAACAGACAACACACACAAAACACTCGACAAACAACTAGACAACAGCAGAAACGACAGAAAAGAAAATCAATTTGCATAACACAAATCAAGTGAAATAATCAGGCATCATAGAGAGACAGACAGAGAGAGAGAGTGAGAGAGAGAGAGAGGGGGAGAGAGAGGGAGATCGAACGAACCCCAGCCCCGAGACCAAATCCGAACTCTCGAACGCATTGCACCGACAGATTGACAAACAAAGCAAAAGCAAACACATGGTGAAATATGAGAAGGAAATAGAAGACGAAAATAAAGATACTCTTTTTTTTAATTATTAAAATTAACTGTAATACGTTTTAAGGGAAATACGATTAGAATCAATTGATAGCGCTACCCCTTTTAGAAGCTCATAAGCTATACTAATTACTGTTTCAGCAAGTAATCATATGACATACAGACAGACTTACAGACAATACCCTCTGATTAGGATAGTGTATAAAAATGCATAGTTGACATACACCTCTGCCCCTCTTTCACCCTTTCAGCGACACATCCCCTGCTCGCACCCATTCCATGGGGGATCCCAAATTGTGCAGCCAATTTCTTTATCTTGTGCCATGGCCAAAATAAATGTCTCTCGCTCTTCCAGCTCCAGCTGCAGTTGCCGTCGCAGTCGCAGTCTTCGTTGCAGTTGCCTCTTGTTTATGGGGGAAAGTTACCAGCGACTTGCTCTGACAGATGCTAGGCAGATAGATACATAGATTGGAGCTGAAGTTGGGGGGTCGGGCTCGGGTTCGGATCCGGGGGATCTGTGGGTACCGCCTGCATTCGCCGCATATTCAAATGAATGCAGACGCTGGCTGTTGCTGTTGTTTGTTGCTGCTGGTTGTGCCACTTGGCTGCCTTTTTCCTTTGATTTTCGCCGTGAAAAATAGCTGGACTGAATGACGTCTGGTTACTGGGATACTTGGAAGCACTGGTAGACAATTCATCGTCTGTAGAGGGGGGTACAAGGTATGGCACCCTATATAAAGCTATTTATCGCCATTACCATTACCTTTCCACCTTCTTGCAATTTGTAATTAAAATACTTTTTGCCTCATTGTCATTTTTGGATTGCATTTACATTATTGTTGCTGCTGCTGTTGCAATTGTTCAATTTTTAAATAAGTTTTTGTAATGCAAATTGCAAATCGAAACTTTTGTTCGTGGCTAGTCCAATGATGGTGCGGATCTGATATTGTGATTTTGTTCGCCAAAGATCGTCGTGTGGGCATTATAATTAATAATTATTATTTATGATTTATTTGTGTAATGCTCTGGGCGTTGCAGATTAGATACTGAGAATCTGGCATTTGTGGGTCGGTTGCAACAAGGCAGCAGCTTGTTATTTGTTATACCAGTGGGGTGGTGGTTGGTGGCTCTCATAGCACACAATTTGTTCAAGATTTATAGATAGGTCAGTCAGTCAGTTTTGTAGGTTAAAAAATATGAATAAAAGTTGACCTTTTATAAACCTTAATTTTTGAAAATGTATCTTACATTGAACAAAAGATTGATATCTTATATATAATTATCTATCTATTGCAATATTTCTCAACCGTTTGGATCAAAAATACTGAAGATAAATGCTGCAGAAATTACTGAATAACGGGGAAGGCTCCCTCTAATATTTTGATTTATCTTATTTTATATTTTCTTTATACGATTCTTTCAATATTAAATCGAACTCTTCTTAGAATCGAGCCAAATCTCCTCCTCCCCAATCCGCTTGCGTCAATCAAAAGACCACCGACCAGATTCAGTCTCAGCTCAAACCAAAAACACTCAACATTTCAATCGCCCATGTCAATCAATCCCCCACGTCACTCACTCACTCAATACTGATGTGGCGCATGCGCTTTTTGGTCAATCCATCAATATATTGGCGAACGAATTAAAAAAGCTCTCTCTCTCTCTCTGCTGTCGGGGCGATGAGGTAAGCAAATCGCTACGATCTACGATCTTCGAACCAATCATTTACAAGCGACTGAAACGACTGAAACGCTGCCGACAATTTTGATTAATTGCATAAATATCTACAGATGCAATTTAATGTGTTACAGCAAATAACAGGTTGCGCCTGGCCATCAATTAATACGAAATCAATAAACCCATTCAGCAGAAAAAAAGAGCTAAAACTCAGACTTAAATTACACTTTAATGTGAGGATGGGATGTGGTTGTATGTAGTGTTGGGTGGGAAAGCCCCCCCACCTTAGATAGGTAAAATATGAAACATAATTCAATAATAAAGCGTTGCAATTTACTCTCCCAACGCTCTCGACCAACGCTTGAACTACGTGACAAGCGTGATGGCCCTCGGCCGTGGTATGAAAATCTGGGAAACTCTGGCCATAAATTCACAAGCGCAAAAGCGCACCCCACCGAATTGAGAAAGTAGGAAGAGGAAAATGGTTTTTCCAGTGTGCTCGCAGGCCTGCTCTCGAGTGTCAAAGTTGATGAAAGATGCTGGCTATCCCGCTGGACAGGGGATTGGTGCTGTGTTTGCAGCAGCTTCAATCTCTAGCCTGGGCCTGGGCTTTAGTTGATTTGAAAGTTTAATCATGTATTAGTGTTAGTTAAGAGGTTGGTTTTTTTTTTTCGGGGTCTTTTGTTGCTTATTTTATTGGTGGCACGTAGTGCACTCTGTAATGGCCCCGCAATTTGTCTAATGATTGCTATTTGTGCACCAGAGAAGAGTCAAGCGATAGAGAGAGAGAGTGAGAGGTTCATTTTGTTTGAAAGTCTTTTGTATTTTATTTTCGGTCGATTATAAGTGTTAATTATACGGCGTAAACTTGAGAGTGGCGGCTTTTAAAACGCTTTTCGATGTAAGCTTCATTTAA